TGAACTGTAGTCAGGAAACGAAGATGGAAGGCATGTTTGAAATTACCCAGGTCTGTGCAGTCCAACTTGATCCCAACATAAGCGGTTTTAAGATAGGACGCGGTATGGCTGCGCTCACCGTTGGGTTTGGGCGAAGCACAGGGGAAGAGGTCACACACGTGCAAATCGGGCACCAGATGCTAGGAGGTCACATGCTTTCCAGAAGGTGGTTAGCAGATATTAACAGGTTTTTCTAGCTATGGACTTGGATGTCAGCAAAAAGCTCTGGCTTTAGTTGTATGGATGAGGAGGAGGATGAGAGGAGCTACAGCAAAGAAGAAGAGGGTGTGGGTCTGACAAAATCAGCTTCTCAATTTTCTTTGTGGTCTGTCAGGTTCTCTGCAAATGGACGCTTAGAGGTGCCAGCACAGCACTGCGCCCAAATAGATTTTTTTTATTTCTTTTTCTTTTTTTCACTTCAGTGTAGGCGGAGGGACGGCACACGCGACCTTGTGCTGCGATACCTTCTTGCGCCACGCAACACATAGAAATGAATGGGTACAATAGCGTCCATCGCGACCTGTCTGAAATGGCCTTTACTCTAAAGCAACACCCACATGGACAATTCTATTCTCAGGGGATTGAGGCGGCTGCAGTGTTTGGTGCCACAGTTGCTCTCCAATGAGTGCAAGAGCTCAAGGCATGATGGAAAATGCCTGACCTGAGAGCTCATTGGTTTAGATGTTGGATCAACAACATGACTGTTTATGGAAACCTATCATTTCTTGCATAATTGCTGCAGTTGTGATTTTATTAGTTGGTATTTGCACTGTGTAGATTTAGTATGTTGACAGGATAAATGTGGTTGATGGTGACTTATTTGTCAGAGGAGTTGAATTCAGTTATCTTATAGTAGTACATGTAGTACTTTTATACTCTAGGCAATCTGATAGTTCTGCTCTACAATATGAACTGATCTAATCTGGGAAGTATTAAGTGACACAAAAGGGATGTGAAGATTCTTTCAGTGACATTTGTACAGAGGTGAGGCAGTGGCAGGCTAAATATCTACCAGATCAACAATGGCTACGAATGTATATATGCAGTTTCATATGAAATCAAGCCTGGTCAGCTTAAATACAGCATCAAACTAATTTGTTGCCTGCTTTGTATGAGAAATGTAGCCATTATACATTTTCAGGCACAATGTTTGAGTAATAGTATGGAGATCAACACAGATCAGCATATTATCAGCATGTAGAGCAACATCATTGAAACAACAGCTTTATGGACTATGGAGTAGAAGCTGGAATGTTTTTCTTGCAGGTATTTTACCATATCAGGATCAGGTCTAACAGGATGGTGATTTCTTCTCTGACTTCCTGTACAGACCGAAGGCTGGTGGAAAGCTTCTAAACTGTCCATCTTGACTGTGGTTTTTTGTCACTCCCTGCTGCTGCTGCCTGCTCTCTTCGGCTTACCAGGCGAGATGCACTTCATCTCAAACAACCCTTAATTCGAAAACAAATCCAGCATGTTTGACATTATGAATGATATTCAGCCATCCTGCAACTGTTTTTTCAAACGCTGAGCTGCATGCCATGTACACCTAGTACTAGCAGTTGAGGCAGAAATAGATCACTTTGCAGTTATTAGTTGTGGTTATTGGTTAACGCAGCTTGTCAAGGTAAAGAGAGTGCTTAGTTTGATGCAAGTGATCTCACTGCTAATGCAAACAAGGCCGAATCATTGTCACCTGAGACAGATCACACAGGGACCTAATCACGCTCTCAAAATGATTTATCAGGCAGCCCTATAAAAACAGTTTCATAGATGTAAAAAGAAATCCCATTTACACTATCACCATGGTCAACAAATCGTCATATTACAATTTGCATATCAATAATATTCCTAATAACTACAGTATTTTCTAGTTTATAACACTTCCCACTTCATCTGGACAGAACACTTGTCAATAAAATGTTGAAAAAAAAATGTAAGCCTTAAATTATCATACAAGTTAAAGACATCCTTTTGTTACAGACTTAAAATCATCCATTACCTGAAAGTCCCCTGGGCAACTATACCATACTGTGCCCTGAATTGGACAAGAAGTTGACTTTTTTTAATTGCATTTGCAAAAGTCATCATCATCACTCTAGGGTTTGTAGACAGCAGACCAAGGGGAGAGACAAAGTGTGGAAAGACCCCATGATTGGAGGGGATGTAACCTTGTGGCTGCATTCTTTGGAAAATCTCTCCTTTTCCTCCAAACATCCTGCAGTCTGAAGTTGCACAAACATGCATGTGCACTCTTAAATTGTATATGAAGTATTCACCTAGCCAAGTGGTTGCTCAGCCCAAACCCAGCACATTTCCCTTACATGAATATCTGTTAAACTTATTTCACTTTTCTCTCATTTTCTGTCACTTTGTCAGTTTCTCTAAAAAGCACTTTTAAGGGTTGAGGGTAAAATAAATTGAGCCATCGAGACATAATGGTTTAAAAAGGATTCAGGTCGGGCAATGTGTATTTACACCTCTAATGAACCTACATGGATGAGACCATATTCACAGTATTTATGACTGGGTTTTGGCTTTAACTTTTCCCATGTTTCCCATCAGGATTCAGAAAGACATGGTATATGGAAACGGATGCATTTATCTATGTATAACGGTAGCAGTCAAATGTAAAATGAAAGGAAATTAGTGAAGTAAATGTTCCCATGCTTATCATTAGGAATGGATGAGTAATGATAAATATGTTTAATGGAGAGTGTAGGTAGAAATATTTCATGGCATGTCAGAACTGATGAAGCCTCTTGGATAAGAGGTAAAATATCTTTGACCTAGAAATCTAGTCCAGTTGATTTTTTTCAGTTTACTATTTCCACAGCCACTTCTCCACCTCACCTCTTCTTCCATCTCTGTGTTTCCCTGTGCTCTTTTCCCCTTTTTAGAGGCTTTTTATGTATGTCCTCATTTGTTCTCTGCTTATTGAGCTTGAAATAGCCCAATCATTATTAGTGGTCAACATCAAGTGGAAGGTGTTGCACACTCAGGTTGTTTCACTCGCACTGGAATCTGGAGGATCCTGCTCTGATGCCGTACAACCTCTTGACAAATACTTGTCAAACATTTGCACTTCACATTACTATATTAGCAGTAACAGTGCTGGTAAAGTATAGACCTATTTACATTTTGAAATGGCATGACAGTAACGGTAAGATGATGTTTATATGTGTAATGCCATGAGCCTAATTATGTAGTTTGGCATATGATTTTCTGAATGGTACCTGCCCTCCTCTCTAATGATAAATACCAAGGTAGGAATGATATCGTTAAGTGGAGTCTTTAAGTCTCAGATTCAACCAGAGATATCAGTATCTGATTTACTCAGATTTGGGAGAAGATATTTTTTGCCTCAGCACTGACTTGTGAACTATAGTATGTCAGTCTACAAAGACTCCTGTCAGTATTTAAACAGGGCTGCTTTTATTCCTTTTTTTGCCTGTGGGATGCTATGAGTGATTTCAGCTATTTCACCATCTGGTTGTATAACTCAACATTCCCCACCAGTCTAATCGCCAGTTAAAATACAACAGCCCTGACCAATTTTTTGGGAGACATTTCCAAGCAGCATTCTAAGCCTGCAAATTGGTTTTATACTGGCACTAATCTTTGTCAGATGTCGGAATTAGACGACCTCTGAGAAGCCTCGTGTATTTTAAATGTTCTGATCTGATTGGATGGGTTTTCTTTGGAGGTCTGTCTCAGTGACACAACAAATGTATGCTTTGTTTAATATACCATGCCCCTTTATTTCTTGCATAGACTGGTTGCAAAATTGACTTAAGCCCTGCAGTAGAGATATGCTCCTGTACTCCTGTTTTTTTTTTACTGCTGCTCAAAGAAGCCTAATCCACATCCTACTAATTCAATACATATGCTCGGGGCAGTGCAGCTAATACAGGTGGTCAAGCGGGAATCCTAGGAATGTATGATTTCATTGCCTTGGTAGGATGCCAAGGATGAACCAACTGTCCAGTACCAGCTGTTTAGAGAATTTGTTTTGAGTTACAGTCATTAGGTAATTGCACTTTAGGAATTGTGTGCACAGTTAATTATGATGATAATTAGAACTGACAATTGCTTAAAAAGGATTTTTAATTTTGCTCAGCTTCATTCTCATAAAAACTCACTTGGGTTGATTCACTTCATCAGCCCCTTGCCTTTTCAAAACCAGTACGTACCATCTGAGGTGAGTGTTCCCTGTGGTGGCGGAGGGTCGATCCCAAAGGGGCTTGGAGTAGGGGAGTCCATGCCTGACCCTCGGGGAAAGGCCCGGTTGTTATTGTCCCTCTGTATTTCATTGGTGAAACGGTTATTAATTGGTATATTCTGTGGCACAACCTGTACCAAAGGAGGAACTGCTGGCAGATCACCACGACCCAGTGTCCTCAGACATTGCTCCTCCAATGCAGAGATGAGAATGGACTGGTTGTTGACCACCCCAGCCATTGTGGCAAACCGGGCCTCCAGGTCCCTGTACCTGGAGGCCAACCGCATCATCTCCGAGGTCACGTTGAGGACGCGGTTCTCCAGCTGGGCCAGCTCCAGAGAGTTGTCTCTTTTCCTGATGATCTCATGCAGCAGCTGCATATAGAGTTGGGTCACCCTGGAGTTCATGTTCCTGCTCTCTTTCCGCAACAGCTTCATCTCATTCACCAAGTTACCATCCACATCCACCACCAGCTGCAGTGTCTCAATCTCACGATGCTGTTTGTTGAGCACCTCCCGCACATCTGCAATGTCCATACGGGTCACTCTGTCTTTGTCTGGCTCAGTGTTTGTGGTACTGGCACAGATTGGACCTGATGACAGATGTGTAGATGAATTATTATTACCAAGGATGTACTGGTAGGCAAAGGAGAACACAGATAATAAAGGCTAGTTACATCAATGAAAGATGAAGACAGCAATACAGTGAATAACTGAATGTTTACCACTGAAATAAATTATCATATGAACCTGTGATTTTCTGCTCAGGTACCAGGAACGTGTAGGAACACTTTTTGCTATCATCCAGGGGAGCTCTTTTACTCCTGTGGAGAGAAGGCTCTTTGGTCCTGCCAGCTTCCCTGGAGCCCCTGCAGAAACCTTCATCCCAGAGGGAGAGGCAGAGCAGAGCACACAGGCTCCACTTGAGCCCCTGCATTGCTGCCAGCTGATTAGATATGTAGATGACAGCTACTGGTGCTTCTTCCAGCTTCCTCTGAGCCTCCCTGTAAGAATACATGACTTTAAAAGCTAAGAGTCAGAAATGCTTTTTAATGTTTTTGGAGGTTTATGTGATTTTTCATAGTAGAGAAAATCATTACCATAAGTGAAAAGCTATTATACACATGTTCAGACACTCAGTAATTGTTTTGGAAAGTTTTCACTTAGTGTGCAGTAGCAGAGTTGTCAGACCATTGTTCCACATGTTTGTGTGGAAAGGCTGAAGGAGAAAACACATTTTCTGACCAGCCGTCAGGGCCAAGTCTGCTTTTTATCTCGGTTAATCTCCCTGCTGACAGACACCCCATTTTTCTGAGATCCTATAAAGAGATCTGATATGCGGCAGCTGGTTATGGTTTATGTTCAGTATCTCGCTTAACTTATCTTTTTTATTCTGGAAATTTGACTTTTTTTTTTATTTTTTTTTTTTAAGCAAACTCCTGTCCTTTTCACAGGCTTTTCAACTAAGAAACTAGGAACCTTTCTGAATGTTGAATATAGGAGCCCGTTTAATATAACGACGTGTGAAATCAATTTTGGATTACACTTTCCCTGTGAGAGTTTTTGGTTTCTGGACTGTACTGTAGTCCCTGTTAGCAGCCGGCGCTAAATGCTCATTGTTATGCTAATTGGTCAAACACAAGCTACTGGTACAGCAGCAGATAGACTTTGATACAAACAGGGCTTATCAAACATATCAATATGAGGAAAAGGGTGGGTATATACTTGTATTGTTAACTTTGAAATAAAACGTATGTAGCCCATTTCCAGACTAGTCTAAAATGAGTGTGATTAAAGGGGGAAAGGCTTCATTACTTGCTTATTGTTTCAGTGCAGTTACAACTAAATACACACTCTTCAGTAGTTTTGATATGGGTGTATTGCCTCACTGTTTGGTTTCCCTTTTTACCTCTGCATCATTTTTCCACTGCTCATTCAGGCATGGCTGTCAGCATGCAAAATTACATAATAAATAAACCATTTCCTTTTAATTCATAGTATGTTGAATCTTCACATTTGTTTGTTTACACTGCAAATTCAAAGTCAAATTGCTTATAGACTTTTAACTTTGGGTTTAGTCCCTGAGTTTGGGTCTGGGGCTCCTTAGCTCTAAGTATTGAATCAAAAATATCTGTAAGAAGGTTCAAGATTCCCCTTAATGCTCAGAGAACTGACCTCATTAACTCATACAGCAGCACTGCCCACTTGCACAGTGCCCCCATGAGTAAAACACATTGAATACAGGGAATTAGGAAATTGTGATACAACTTCCTGTGAGCCAGGTATTAGGTATAGTATTTGTTTAATTTGAAAGATTTTGCACATGTGTTGTCCCTCCTATGAACAGTGCTCCATTTAACACTAGTCCTCCTAAACCACTCCATCATTCTGCACCGTCGGTCTTGACTCAGTGCCTCCGTCCTGCCTCCAGTCTGAAACACAGGCCCTGTGTTCCTCCCATATGATTCTGGTGCTTCAGGATTTCTGGCAAACCTGATGTGTGGAATAAGGCTGATGGGGGACAGGGTTACAGCTAGTACTGGAGATCGTGTGTGTGTGTGTGTGTGTGTGTGTGTGTGTGTGTGTGTGTGTGTGAGAGAGTATATGTGCCTGCACTCTTGCTGGTAAAGGATGTCTGTGCGTGTGTGACTATCCAAAGATGTTGATGGTGGTGTTTTTTTCTAGAAGCTGGTGTATCTGACAGCAAATCGGGTATTGTATCCTTCCTGACCTCACTGCTAATGAGTTGAGCAGCAACATCAGCAGTATTGGTTCCCCCATGTGTCTTCTTTTCCAAATAAGTTTTCATATTCAGCATCGTCTAAAGTTTAGGGGGCATGAACAGGATAGGCATCATTACAGCCCATCCACTATCACCTCCATTTCCTCTCTTTTATGTTATCCTTTTCTTCTCAATCTCCCCTCTTCTTTCCCCGTGGACTCAGGTTTTTCCCCTGGGTGGTGTGTCTAAGTACAGGGGGCCTGATCTCTGTCATGGAAACACAGCATATCAAAGACATTCCAGCGATCATGGAGAGCTCAACTTTGTGTCATGAAGTTACAAGGTTTACGGTAACTAAGGACAGACAGCGGGTCCTTTTCTTGCCCCAGCAAATCACAACAAAACACTGACAGGTTTGTTGACTTGGGGGGCCTACTGAGTAGAAAACAAAGCGGTTCCCCTGTGGGACTAAAATCTTATGCATTTGAATATGCTACACTACAGCTGCAGTTAGTACAATCATACATTGTGATTTAATTTAGTAGATTTGAATGCTCAGACTTGTTTTCCTGACGTCTAAGAGTTGTATATGTACTATTTTCAGTGTCCCTTCACATGTTTGAGTTTGAGCATTATATAGCTGGAAATGCATTGTGAGGTACTTCACATAAATGTTAGATTCAATAAGAACCTATTAGAGAACTGACTTGTGTTTGTAGATGTACAGAAGCAGACAGGGGAAGGAGATGTGGAGAGACAGCCTGGTAGGCCGAAACCAAAATGCATAGCACATACAGCAGTTTATTAAAGATAGAAGAGACTAAAAGTGTTAGAAAATGGGTCATGGCCCTTTTCTCTTTCTGGCCAGGCATCATGAACATAACTTGAATCAGAGAGCTGCAGAAAAAAAATACTCCTGTTTTGTTATATTTTAACATTTTTCTTCTTCACAGATTTGCATCAGTTTCTCTGTCGCTTTCTTACAGCCCCTTTTCACTTTCCTCTCCTTTCTTTTGTGAAGACTTTTCATCCTATTCACTTTGTTTGGTGTTCCTTCCTCTTCCTTTTCACTTTCTGCTAAATTACTTAAGCAGAGGCATATAAATGTTAATACAGCAAAAGAGAAACTGAAACCATTCTACTTAATATCAACAGGATTTACTAGAGTTCTTGATGGCTCAGCCCTCCTCTGAGAGTCAGTTACCCTTCACAACATCCATGAGTCTAATAAGGAATTTGAAGAAGGCTTCTAGTGCTGCCCTCTTTATATTTTGGCAACAGTATGAGCTTAAGTAGTTCCTCTAACTGCAATACTGGGTCCTCACCCCATTTATTGTTATTAATACTAAGGAGACATATCACAGTGGCTTTAATTGTCCTTGGTGTTCACCATCTCTCTCTGTCTGAACTATAGTTGGTTATTTTCATAGTTGTTTCTGGAGACGGTATACGATGTACATACAGCCTGTGCCTGCAGCTAGCTGCGTACTGTATTGCATTTTGCTTTAAGGATATTTGGCCTGGAGAGGTGATTTTCTGATGCTTGAGAATTTGGTTGTCTAATAATGGTAAGAATGCTAATCAAATAGCTTAGTGTAATGCTGACCACACTCTGTACTGCTTCACACATACACTCACATGGTTGTTTCCTCCACACACACAGTGTTTGGGTACAATGTTTATGCACATACTGCACTAAGTACAAAGTGTTGCCAAATATACCTCTGGCTTTGCTCACTTGTGACCATGAGCTCCACTGTTCACTCCCAGGCAGTTTGCTGCTGACAGCTGACTAGCTGTTTCTTCACTTACATGCAGCACACACTCATGCTGGAGGTCGTGTACAGTATGTGGCAGGAAAACTGGCTTTTGTCTGTCTCAGTTTTCTGTGTAGGAGCTGATGTAGTTCCAGCTTTGGCCTCAAGTAGAAGGCAGATATAATTGCCTTTTGCATTTTGTTAGGGAGGAAATGACCAGAGACAGCAGCACCGCTTAGGGTACTCTTAGACACAAAACATTTGTTTTGCCTTGTTGGTCAAAAAGCATAATGAACATTGGTTGTTACTTCAGAAGGACAGCCATATGTGACACTTCAGTTTACTCTGTATGTATTATCATAAAATCTCTTTGAGCATAGTTGTCATTCTGTGATCCAAGCCAAAGATACAACTGGTTAATAAACTGAAGACTAAATACTGTATTTTAAGTTGATGGCCAGTAAAATGCCAGTAAGTGGGCTGTAATTAATGTGTAATCTGTTATCTAGCAGTAGTAGCAAGTTAACTCTAAAACTTTGTTTCATCAGCATGATGTGTGAATGGCACTTTTTAATTCTTACATACAGCATATACTGTACAGCGTAACAACGGGAGAAGAGAGTAGTTGCTCAGAAAGCACTGTGCTCTTACTGGATGAATACCAGTGAGGAGAATGTTGTGACGATCAGCTGACCCATTTGGTAGAATGCACGCACCTGCTCATGCACTTGCCGCATCAGGTTAGGAGCATAATCTAGAGCCCGTAAGTGTGTAAAATTTAGACTGGGGCTGTTTCACTGCAACAAGTACCTTGTTGTGTGGGTTACAAATCTCCTGGTCAGTGTTTTACCAATCCTGGTAGCCTTATGAACTGCAGTTCAGCAAATGGGGTAGGAAGACTTGGACAAAATGCATTTACAAACCCCAACTCCAGTAAAGTTGGGGAATTGTGTAAAACGTAAATAAAAACAGAACTTTGACTTGCAAATCCTTTTTGACCCATATTTAATTGAATACACCTCAAAGACAAGATATTTAATGTTCAAACTGATCAACTTTGTTTTTTGCAAATATTCACTCATTTTGAATTTGATGTCTGTAACACATTCCAAAAGAGCTGGGACAGGGGCAACAAAAGACTGGGAAATTTGAGGAATGCTCAAAAAACAACTATTTGGAACATTCCACAGGTGAACAAGTTTATTGGAAACAGGTGAATGTCATGATTGGTTGTAAAAGGAGCATCCCAAAAGGCTCAGTCATTCACAAGCAAGGATGGGGCACACTTCACCACTTTGTGAACAACTGTGTGAGCAAAGTGTCCAACTGTTTAAGAACAACGTTTCTCAACATACAATTGCAAGGAATTTAGGTATTTCATCATCTACAGTCCATAATATCATCAAAAGATTCAGAGAATCTGGAGAAATCTC